TCACAAACTAATGATACTAGTTAAAATATAAAATACAGTCAAATCTCTCTATAGTCACACCTATTTATAGTCACACCCTTTATAGTCATCTTATTTTGCTTTTCTATTTACATATAAATATAGTAAAAAAAATCTCTCTATAGTCCCATTCTCTTTATAGTTATCAAAGTTTGCTTTTCTGAGAGTGGTGACTATAGAGAGATTTGATTATATGATTAAAAAATATAATATTATTACTCAATATCATTTTTTTTTCATTCATTGACTTAATTCTTTCTTTGAGTTGAGAACAATATTTTTATAATCTTTTTTTCAGTAAATTTTTTATTATTTACAGATTTATCTTGGTTTTCCTCACTAAAATTTCATCCATATGCAGAAAACTCACCAAACATTTCTGAAATTTCTTCAATACTCAATTCTCTTCATTTATCACTTCAAGAAGGTTGATTATAAATTATAAACAACAAATAATTACTGCTTTTCAAATTTATGAATACTTCTAATCATATTCTAGTTTTACTATTTTAAGAAATATTAATACATTTTTTGCATCAAGTATTATTAGATACAAGAATCAGTAAGATAAAGATAGATTAAAAGAAAAAATTCACAAACTACTAGATAAATTAATAGCAACTTTGAATTAAAAATTAAAATATTATTTATTTTATTTTTAATTTTACTTTTTCATTTTATTTTAATTTTTTATTTTATTTTATAAAGTCAAATTTTTAATAAAGAAAATCTGTTATGATATAAATATTTAGTCATATTCTATTGGTAAATTCATATTATAAATTGATTAAACAATAATTTAATTAAAATTATTGGACAATAACTAGAATAACATTATTGAATAAGATTTGAGCTATTAATAATTAGTTTACTGAACTATGTAAGTGATCAAAGTATCTAAGTAATGATAGCAAACAAAGCAATCTAAGTAATAACAGTAATAAAAGTATCTGTGTAATAGTTAAATTAGATCTAATAATTTGTTATAAATATAATTTGTATTTAACTTTAGAAAAATAAGTCTTATTATTTTAATTATCCTTTTGTTAGATAATTAATATAGTTATATTATTTTTGATCTTGAAAAATAAATTACTATTAAATAATCAATTATTATATTTGACTTGAAAGATAGTTATTTAAGACTTATTGCCTTGGAATATAATTTTAAAAGTTATAAAGAAACTTAGTAAAATATAGTAAAGTTATTAAATATTATTTTAGCTTATTATAATATAAATATATATTATCTACTGTTATTATTTTTATAAATTTTATATTCTTGATATATTATTTATATTATTACAAATAGAATTTTATAATTTCTTAATTTCTTAATGCTTTAAAAAAATATTTCAAACATTTTCAACATTCTATAAATATTATCTTTATCATATTTATTAAATTTAGCTAAAATATTATATTTATTATCTATATTATACTTACTATATTTATCACATATATTATTTTTATTATAATTAAATTAAATATAATATTAAATAGTTAAAAATATTTATTATAAATAAAGTATAATTAGAATTTTAAAAAAGATATTAATTGATTATTACAAAAATCTAGCTAGTTAATAAATTATTCATTATTTATTATTAATAAAATTTGTATATTAATTGATTTTAAATAATAAATAATAATCTTATATTAAATATTTACATTTATTGCATACTATTGGATAATCACCAAGTTGTTATAAAATATTATTATAGGATTATCATATACTAAGTAAATATAATATCTATTAGTAATAGTGAGAGCCTATCTAACTAATAGAAAAAAATGCATTGTATAATAATTTTAAAGTACACCAATTATAATGAGATCAAGTAATTGTAAAATTATTATTATTAAATATTGATTAAATATTTATATTATGATAACACTCACCAAAAGTCTGATTATAATAACATGTTTCTATTAACTAAGAGATAGAAAAACTAAGTTTTATAGTGGAAGAAACTAAAATTATTATTAAAAATAAATAATATATATTCTTGTTGTAACTAGAGTTCTGAAAAAAAGTCTGATTTAATTTGAGTCTGATTTAGTTCAAACTTGAACTGAACTTAAATTTGATTAAAAGTCCAATTCAAAAATTTGAAAGTCTGATTCAAGTTCAGTTCAAATTTTGAATTGAACTCAAACTCAGACAAAAATCCAATTCAGTTCAGTTCATAAGAATATTAGTTAGAATGATATTTAATAACTTTACTAAACTTTATTAAGTTTTTTTATAATTTTAAAGGTAATTATTCAAAATAATAAGTTTTTCAAGTGATTATCTTTCAAGTTAAATATAACAATTAATTATTTAATAGTGATTTATCTTTCAAAATCAAAATTAATATCAAATATAACTTTATTAAGTTATTATTAAAGTTCTATCAAACAAAAACTTTATTGAACTTATTACAAAGTTATTACCAAGTAAATTAAGTTATTAAGTTATTTTAAATTACTAACTAAATTACTTTTTTTTATAATATTTGATAGTTTTGTAAATATTATTTTTACTATAATATTATTACTACTTTTGTTGAAATTTAATTATTTGTTTTGTTAGTATCATATTGTTATTTTTGCTATGATCAAATTGCTAATTTAACTAAGATTCTATTGCTAGTTTAGCTTGGATCATTTTGCTAACTTTGCTATAATTATATTGCTTGTTCTATTATTTAATATTAACAAATAAGATTTCTTCTAGTTAGTATTCAATAAGATATTAATAAATATTATTTAATCATATTATAATATAAATTATTCAATAAAATATAAAATAATTAATATAATAAAAATTCATATCATAATACTATTTTTAGTAATAGTTTTTAATCTTTCTCATTATAAAAACTTAGTCTCATATATTTTTAGTTACTAGAAACACGTAAATAATATATTAAAAACTTAAAGCCTATACAAATAGTAATAATGTATTTATTATAAAATAATTTATATTAATAAAGAATTTTTTGAATAAACTAAAATAATTAATCAATACAAAATCTATCTAATCAATAAATTACTTTTTATTTATTGTTTATGAAATTGTATATTAATTAATTTAATAATAATAATCTTATATTATAATATTTATTTTATTTTGTACTATTAAATATTCAATCAGATTGTTATAAAATATCAATATTATATTGCTATAAGATTATTCATATTAAGTAAATACAAAAAAAATATTTATTAATAATAATAATATCTTATTTTATTAATTAAAATAAAAGAAAATGCATTATATAATAATTTTAATATAATTGAATTAAAATTAGTAATTAAAAATCAAAATCAGACATTGATTGAACATCTATATTGTAAAAATATCTACCAAAGTCTGACTTGTAATAATATATAAACAAAATTGTAATTTATATTTAAAGTTATAAATCAATATATAATACTATATATTAATTTCAAATCAGACTCAAACTTATATAATAGTTCAGTTTAAATTTCAAATTTTTCTTGAATTCAAATCAAAGTTTGATTCAAGTTTGGTTTGAATTTTGAATTAAACTTGAATTTAAACTTGAATTCAAACAAAAGTCCAGTTTGGTTTTGTTTATAAAAATATTAGCTAACTTTGCTAGAATTATTAAATTAATTTTGTTATGATTATTATATTATCTAATATTAACAAATAATATTTTTTATAACTAATATTCAATAAAATATATATAAAAATTATCCAATAATATTGTGATATGAAATGTTCAATAAAATATAAGAGATTTAATATAATAAAAGTCATATCACAATAATATAGCAACTGAAAAATAAATTATTAAAGTTTTATAGTAAACTAATTATATATAAATTAAATTTCAATTAAGTTAATAGTCACATTCAATTAAATAGTGAAATTGTATTATTAATTACGAAAATATATGATTAGTTTTAATTTTATTAAATAGAAAAGAAAAAAGATAAATAACAAATTTGATAATACTATTTAAAATTATAATAAAACTTTTTTTTATAATTATCACTTTTAAAAAAGCAAATAACTATAAAAAGATTTTTTTATGGATTTTGTAATGTAATTTATTATTATAATAATATATTATAAGATCCCAAACTTAATAATAATGAAAATCAAAATATAATCTTAAACTTTTTTGGATTCACAATTCTCTTAGTAGATGGTTAACATAGTGATATATCACATATGCAATAAATTATAATTCTCTTTTTTTTATTATATTTATTTATAAATAAAAAAGCAAATAAATAATTATAGAAAGATATAATTATAAATAAAGAAATTTGATTGTATATTTATTTATAATAAATATTTTTGATAAACTTGATAATGTTATGTTCCAAATTACAATTATTTCAAATCAAAATTGGTTCAAATTAGAATAAAAATATAATTAAAATTAGAGTAAGATTAGGATTAGTGCTGGAGGATAGTTTATATTTGGTTTAGATTTTGATATATTCCAATTGTTAGAATTTCAACTTTTTAAATTTTATTATGTGATTATGTCTTTTATAAGAACCAAATTTCAAATATAATATTTGCTCATCTATAATTATGAAAAGATTGGTGTTCAAAATACTCAGAAACTTTTGTATAATGAAACTTCGTGTGATGTGTCCAAGCACAAATGCACTATCAGGACTTCAGACACTTTTATAAAGCTTATTTACTTCATAACTCAAAAACTAATAAAAAAAACTTGACTTCATGTACTAAGTAAATATGTGCAAAATAGCCCAGAGAACATTTTAGCTTAATGTTAATATCTTTTTGAAAAAATCGCATAACGATAATCTACCATTTTTGCCCAGAAATTTTTTGTATTGAAATGTTCGAGATCCTGCTTTTGTTATAGTTGATTGACAAACAACCCCGGATACTGTCAAATTTCACATGCACAACTTATTTAGGTAATTAATCACAGATCTAGAGATTACCTTTCTGTTCTCTTGTTTCTATGAATTCCAACATGACCACACCCGTCATTTTCGCTCGAAAACCAGAGTTCGTGCATAAAACATGCTCTTTTTGTCAGAAAGAATTTGAGTTCCCTATGCCGAACGCCACAACTTCAACAATTCGCGTCCAATGTTGTTTTTGTTCCAAAAAGAACACCTATAACCCGATATCTTTGACTAATTCTAATAATGTTGCTAATGGAAATGGCATTAAAAAGAATCGAATGTTTGGAACAGGTTATACTCGAAAAGACTCTAACTTACTTCTGTTGAAAATGTATTGGTTTTCTATAATTTCAACAATGTACGCGGTTTCTTTGCATTTTCAGATCAAGAACCGTTGGAGACCGAGTATTATGATCTCCTTGGGGTATCACCGACTGCGGATGCAAACGAAATAAAGAAACAGTATTATAAACTGGCTCTCCAATATCATCCAGATAAGAATAAAGCATCAGATGCAGAGCAAGTGGTATGTGTGTTGATATTATTATTATTAAGAAAATTAAAAGAATCATCATTCAATCTATTCGTTTAGTTCAAGAAAATATCGGTAGCATATCAGGTATTGTCAGACCCTGCGTTAAGGAGAAAATATAATGAATTTGGAACACGAGATGTTGAACCTGAAGGAGGCTTTGGTATTGAAAGTTTGATTTTTTTCTTTAATTGCAGAATTTTTTATTTATTTGTGCTTATATTATTTTCAATACATAAATTGTAGTTAATCCTGAAGATTTCTTCAAACAACAGTTCGGAGGAGATCGATTTGTCGATATAATCGGCGAGATATCAATTGGCCGAGACATGAAAGAAGTACTACAAAATGCAGCAGAAGAGAGTGACGTCGACACACCTGAATTTAAAGCACGAAGAGAAGCAAACAAAAATGTCATGGACGAAGAACGAGAACGAATTAAACAACAGCGTATTGAAAAATTAGTGGTAAATTTAATTCACAAACTGACAATATATGTTGAGGCGAATGAGGCTACCGGAGAGGAAGCGTATCGTAAGATGATTGAAATCGAAGCAGATGAACTAAAGACAGAATCATATGGCGTGGAATTATTACGCGCAATTGGTTTCACTTATTCGTTGAAGGCAAAACAGTATTTAGGAAGGGAACAAATGTTTGGGTTGCCTCGAGTTGGACATATTCTTCGAGAAAAGGGACACGTGTTTAGTGAAACACTTTCAACCTTGAAGTCTGCGATAGATTTACAACAGTCATTTACTCAACTGCAAGAAGCTGAAAAAAAGGGTCTTGATGAAAATGAAAAGAATAAATTACAAGAGGCTACTGCAAATAAAGTATTTGATTATTTTTAATAATCTAAATAATTTAAATAATTATTAATTATAATCTAATCAATAGGGTTTAACGGCACTATGGAAAGGTTCAAAACTTGAAGTAGAAGGTGTACTAAGGGAAGTGTGTGATCGAGTGCTGTCAGATCCAACAGTATCAAAAGCAGAATCACGAAAACGTGCGGAAGGATTAGGAATAATTGGAAGTGTATATGAAAACGTAAAACCAGACAATTCTGAAGTGAAATCATTCTCTGAATGAATTAGTTATTGAATCTGATGATGATGATGATGATAATGATGATGATAATGATGATGATGATGATGATGTACGGGTACATGAATTATATTGTAAGGAGAAAAAGAATCCTGCAAAGATATAGAACGAATGAAAGAGTAGAAAATTCATTGAAGGCCAAGTATATTTATTTTGTATGGAATTGATTAATTTATATTTGTAATTATTTATAATCATTAAAGAATACCAACTGACAAGACCACCTTTAAAATGTATTCAAATGATCGTATGTAATATATATCATGTAACAACAGCACGTATGTTTTAGCTTTTGTGCAACGGTAATATATATATATATATACATATATCGATATATATAATTATATTAGTTTCTTAATTCAATCGTCATGATGATGACGACGTTACATGACAACTCGACGCGAGTTAAAATTCATATACGTATATATAAACACACAACATCAAGCATTCGAAAACGAAAAAAGGAATCCTAGTAAAATGTCCGTTAATACGCTGTGAAGCATATATATCATATTATACTTTTCTAAAATTCTAAATTAAAAGAACAGTTTTTTTTATGTTTTTGTTAAATAATAATAATAATACTATTTATTATGATGCTAATGATGGTAGCGTTGAGTCATTTTGTTGACCCTTCATCATTTGAGGTCGATTATTAATAATACCCAGACGAAGAGAAGAATAATGTTTTTCCTCCATTTTCTTTGCTTTCTCTATTTGTTTCTTGACCACTTTTCTGGTAATCACACCAAGTTTATACCTCAATGACTTTTTCCACACTTTATCCGGTAGCAAAGTATCGTAGTCGTTATCCTTAATTTTTTCTATGATATCCTTGCCGCGTGATTTATAATGTGGTGGTCCTTGAGCAGCCACAGTCTCCAAGTCTGGGAACTCTTTCCCTTTTGTTCTATGTTGACGCGCTGTTGCAATTTCACGCTCAAAATTATTTTTATCTTTCATCAGCTTAACGAGCTCGAAATTTGCTCGAACCGACTTTGGAATGTGTCGCGCTGAAATTACGGGTGATAAGATGCATTCATTTTTTGGTGGTGTTGATGATGGTGATGATGGTGATGATGATGATGATGATGGTGATGATGGTGATGATGGTGATGATGGTATTGATGGTGATGATGGTGATGATGGTATTGATGGCGATAAGGTGGACTCTTCAAGAGTTGTTTCACTATTGGGTGATGATGGATGTGTGTTACCAGAATTAAAAGATTTCGAATCAGATGATATTATTGGAGTTGTGCCAAGTGGCGATGGAGTCCACGGCATAGAATTTTTTCTAAAAGAAAAGTCTTGTATCTGCCATTCTCGTGAGTATACCCTTCTTGGACGTTTACTTGTCTCCGGGTAGCACTCAACGTGTGCAAAATCTAGTGCATGTACAGGTTTCTCGAAATCCACGTAACGTTTACGTTTACTTGGATACGCAGAAGACATCTACTACTACTACTACTACTACTACTACTACTACTAATATTATTCAAATAAATTATTAGTATTATGATGAAAAGTGTTTTTTATTCAATATATATTCTTTCTTTTGGAAAAGAATATATATGAAATAAAAATTTAATAATAATTATTTGCGTAATATGTCATGAAAGCTGAGAAAGATGGAGGAAGGTTGTAGAGGCTACTTTTCTATTTTGACTCGGAATGAATTTGCCTATGAAATGTAGAATATCTTTCCCAATTTGTGTAGTTGTAACCATGTAACCCCTCTTAGAAATTTTCGAACCATTTATTTTAACAGAATATATAAACACGCGACCAAAATGAATCATGTACTAGTAATAGGGGGTGACGGGTTCCTTGGTCGTTGGATAGTAGAATTGTTGCTTCGTCGGAACTCTGACCCAAATCAGCCCAATTATGCAATTTCAATTTTCGATTTACAACAACGATATTTTGACGAGTCTTTAACTTACTATACTGGAAACCTTACGCAATATGAAGACATTAATTTAGCCATTGCAAAATCTCGCGCGAAAACTTTGATACATACAGCGTCGCCACCGCATGGCTTAAATTCCAAAATATACTGGGATGTTAATGTGGGTGGGACGAAAAATGTGTTAAAAGCTTGTGTGGAGAATGGTGTCGAAAAATTGGTGTTCACTAGCAGTGCTGGTGTTTTGTATGATGGAATTAGCGATTTGGTCAATGTCGATGAGACTGCTTCTTTTCCGAAAGTTTTTCATGATGATTATCATGAGACAAAGGTTAACAATTTAATCATCTATATCTATTATCCTGAATTTACTATGACGATGATGATTATTATTGATGACGCTGTTACAATTTTAATTAGGCAGAAGCAGAGAAAATTGTGCTTGCGGCAAATAGACAGAATGGCCTTTTGACTTGTGCTATTCGTCCATCAGCAATATTTGGGTTGATAAATTATTTTATACGCTTTCGAAATGTTATTGTAAAATCATATTGATCGAAGAGTATGAAATAATAATGATGCATTTAATTTAATATAGACCTCGGGATCAGCAATTGGCAGCGGGAATGATAAAAGTGATGGAACGAGGTCAAACAAAATTTCAAATTGGTGATAATTTTAATTTATTTGATTTCACGTACGTCGAGAATGTCGCGTATGCTCATTTGCTTGCAATGGATAAGTTGAGTAGCGATCCTGATATTAAAGTAGGCGGTGAGGTAAATATAAAGAAGCGACAAAATTATTCTGATTATGTAACACTTATCATAAATATCTTATATTCCCTTATTTAAAAGGCATTTTTAATTACTAACGGGACTCCTATTCCATTCTGGGACATGCCACGATTTATCTGGAGCCAATTCAATCATTACCCGCCATACTATATAAAAATGTCGCGAACGGCCGGGCTCGCTTTAGCCTATTGTGCCGAATGGGCTTGTTATCTGCTCAATCGTGAACAAGGGTTCACCCGATACCGGGTAAAGTACGCGTGTTCATCGCGTTATTTTAATATCAATAAATCGAAAACTATACTTGGGTATAGTCCGCCTGTTGATTTAGAAGAAGGAATCAAACGTACTTGTGAGGTGAGAATTAAATATTTTTGGCAAACATACATAATAGTAATAATAATATTGATAAGCTTAAAATTCTTCATTTATTTCTATCGCTCTTTGATCAATTACTTAAAAAAATAGCATCTTGTACAACAGAATCCGAAAAATGGTAAATAATCGTGATTTTTACGAGTTTTAATATTTATTCATAAAACCAAATTTTTAGTTAGTATCAGGTCGTTTTTATCTAAATCACTTTTTGTAGTCTAGTCTATATATATATATATATATACCTGTATTTACTTACTATTTGAGAATTAAGCTAGAAAATATTTTTAAATTGACGATCGTAATGATATAATAATAATTATAATAAAAAGGTTAACTTTGAGATGATAATAACAGAGCCATTAAACCAATTAACCTATAGTGTATATTATATATATACTAGTTGTGAAAGTATCGACAAAATGAGTGAACATTATACAATAATTCATTTCTTTATATTTTTCTGTTTTGATTGCATTCTTTGAGACTGGATACCTGCCTGTCGGGATTCTTTTAGAGTTTGTCCCGTTTGTTTGTTAGCTTGTGAACGTTGAGCATGATCATTATTGTTATTTCTTGGTTGATAGAATTGTTGAAGAGGTGATTGGTTGCCTCGTGGCTGTTGCGATTCTTTCGATATCGGAAAAACTATATCAAGGTTACCAGTTCGTTCGGTTTGCGACTGCTGCAGAAATGGATCACCGTCGCGTGGTTGATGGTATGATGATTCCTTAGCTAGTGGAGGACCTGATTGGTCGTTGTTTTGCTGTTGCAATCTCTGTTGAGACGGGACACCACGAGATTGCTGTACATGTGATTCTTTGATAGTTGGAAACAGTACTGGATAATCTTGCTCAATTTGTAATCGGTCATTCTGTAATTGTTGTTGATATTGAACACCACCATTACCACGATTTTGCGACGAGAAAACCCATTGATTGTTGTGCGGCCGCTGTTGGGACCGAACAGAGAGAGATTGCTGCACATGCTGTGGTTCCTTTAGAGTCGTAAATAATAAATGATCATTTTGTGGTTGCTGTTGTAAAGAATGAGCACTGAGAGATTGCTGCACATTTTGCTGCTGTGATTGACTACCATGAAATTGCTGCTGAGTGTGCGGCAACTTTTTCGGTGTCGGAAAAGGTAATTGGACATTTTGCAATCTCTGCTGGGATTGACCTGAACTTCGAGGTTGTGGTACATGTTGCTGTGACTCTTTTATAGGCGGTGATAAATGTTGATTATTTTCCGATCGCAACTGTGATTGAGCAACGCGAGATTGTTGTTGCGTATGTTGCACTTTTCTGGGAAATATTTTATCATTTTGCAATCTCTTTTGTGATTGAGTACCACGCGGTTGCTGTTGCGCATTTTGTAAATTTTTAGGTGAGGAAGCACCTGACTGATCATTTTGCGGTCGCTTTTGATATTGAACACCGCTACCAGTGCCACGAGATTGCTGTGAATGTAATGATTCCCTTGGAGTCGGATCATTTTGCGACCGTTGCTGGGGTTGAACATTCTGAGGTTGTTGCGGATAATGTGACGAAGATTCCTTTGGAACTTGTATTGGTTGTTGGGATTGTTGGACTCCAATTCCATGATAATGCTGTTGCTGATGAGCATTTTGCGATTTTTTCCCCATTTGATTATTCTGCTGCGGTCGCTGTTTAGGTTGATGAGTAACAGCAGCACCACCACCACCATTACCGTGAGATTGCTGCTGCGCATTTTGTATATTTTTAGACGATGATGGAGGTGAAAAACCTAATTCATTTTGCAGTGAGTGTTGTTGGGATTGATGGCTACGCTGTTGTTGCAAATTCTTTTGATAATCATTATTAGTTAGTTGTTGATTATGAGCCCCTGGTTGCGCTTGATTTCTGTGTCGGTAATTTTCTTGTGGTGGTTTCCCATGCGATGGTGATGGTGATAATGATGATTGGGATGGTGGGATGTATTTATTTGCAATTTGAGGTTCTTTTTCACCTTGGTGATGATCAGGCTCCTTGTTTGAATCTAATTTTGATATATTATGATTATTACTGTTATTTACCCATCGATTTTTGTTATTGTAGCGATTGTTATTATTTTTGCGATGCTGCTGTAGTTGATAAGTAGAATGCCGAACTTGCAAGTTATTGTTATTGCTGTTAAGATCTTTAAGCGAGTTTACGCTTATTTCATTGATGTTTACATCCGTGTTGCTGCTGTTATTAATATTTGATGTCGGGTTATCTGGTGTCTTACTCTCCCATACCCTAGATTCCTTAGACCAATCAACAACATCCGACGAATACTGACTCTCATCTCTACGTATATTACTATTATTAATTATATTAGAGTTTGACTGAAAAGTCTGTTTCTTTGGATAATTTTCTATTTTAATAAACTCCTCGGGAGTTTCATTTTTTTTAATATTGTTATTGTAAACGTCATCATCATCATGATGATGATGATTATTATGACCGTATTCGGAACTATTGGCTGAGTTACTCCTCCCACTATGATTGATATTGTCCGTATTGTTACTGTATGTGCTATTCCAATCAGCATTACTACCATTCGGTGATGGATGACCATTATCGTGTAGAATCTGTAGGAGTTCATACGGGGACGGTCCGGGACTAGAGTATGTGAATTGACTTGAATCTGTGTTGCTACCGTACTGATTATCTCTATTGTTGTTTTTATTGTTACTAATATTATCCAATCGTGTATCATCCTGTGATATGACTGAATATTCCTTAGCTAAATTTCGGTGGTTATTATTATTAAATTGTGAATCTTCGCTATCCACAATGCTATAATAAAGTATAGCATTGTCGTGTTTAATGTTGCTGTTGTCATTATTACTGCTGTTATTTCCATTGGTAATTTGATCATTATTATTGGAATATCCAGTAGCATGGCTGTCATTGTTTACGTATTGATTATAAATAGTCGGTTTGCTACTATTTGGTGTCACGTAGGTCTGTTGTTCATAATAATTGTAATGGTTTATCGTGTATTTATCCTTCCCATTCGTATTCACATTGTTGAAATGTCCATTTATGCCTCCATTATTCATGTGACCATTATTATTTTGGATACCATTGTAATTGCGCCCGTCCTTGATGTGTCCATTACTTTCAGTACCATTATAATGGCCATTGGTAGTGCCTCTATTATTATTATTAATGCGTCCACCACTCTGAATAATATTGTAATGTTCATTGTTAATGCTCGCATCATTCATATGCTCGTTATCATTATAGAGTCCACCATTATTATGTGTTCCTCCTCCACTATTGTTATAATATTGACCAATAATAATACGACCCCCGTTCGTATTATTCTTGCGTGCATTACTATATTGTCCATTTGTGTGTTCACTATTTACATGCCCATTACTAGTAGTAGTATTAGTATTAGTATTAGTATTAGTATTAGTATTAGTATTAGTATTATTATTATTATTATTATTATTATTATTATTATTATTATTATTATTATTATTATTATTATGATGATGATGATGATGATGATGATGATGATGATTATGATGATTATTATTATTATTATTATGCTTATTATGATCATTTATCCGTCTGAGATTAGACTGTAAATCATTTTGACCATCATAATTATTTCCTCCACCACCACGCCTATCCCCCCCTGCACCCCCAATTGAATGTCCATTATTTGGATACTTTATGTATGAATAATTATTAGTAGTTGTTTCCCTTTTTCCATTTGGAGATGATTTATTGTAATTGTTCCAAGTACCGGTGTGTTGTAGGGTCTGCTGATTGTGATCAAATTTCGGGAAATGATATTGTTTACAGCAAAACTCCAAGCTGACCTTTTCGTATAGAATACAAAAGGCTCTTTTGAACTCGCCTATAAGTCCTCTGACTGTGACAACGTCAGCACTATTCCCAAGATTTCGCGCAGTGTTGAAAGGTTCTTCAACACACAGTAGCCAGCCCCGCGAATCCCAGCCCTTCTCTACTTTGGTTAGATATTTGCCTTGTCGAATTGAAATAACATGGTGATCATAATCGAAATCAAATGCAAAACTATGATATTAGAAATACATGATCAGTATAATCAATTGGCATTTGACAAGGAAAAGACTGATAAAAAAACCCCCCACCGTCTAAAGAATGCGAATAAAAGTCCACCAACTGATTCTTTGTTAGCATCGCCAAAGCCACGCAGGGATTCAACATCATCATAGAATGATGCATCGAAACCATCTACAAAAGTGTGTTCTGTACCAGTATCCATTTGATGAAGTACTGGTAATATCGGAGGTTCGCGCATTTGAAGAAAATTTAAAATCATAATAGTCCAAGTATAGGTTGAGAGTGTGCCGCCTTTCGCTAATTTTATACAAGGAATTAACTATAGCGAACGTGAATCTCTATTGATCGATTGTTAAATCTAAGTTAAATACCTGCGTCATTTAATGCTCTCCGTTTAGCCCAGTGTTTTAAGGTCATTGCAAGCGGACGCACTCTCGGATCGATATTTACATATGTTTTGATAAGTCGTGTATTGTGTAATGCCAATGTATTATTAACATTCAAATCACAAGCAAGGTGTCTATAGCAGAGGTATATAAACAGAAAAGGTTGATTATTTGTTGCAAGATTAAATTCAAATATACACTTACAGTTCTGGATCCCATAAACGAACGATGGGTACTTTTGCTTTTGGTACGCAGTTAACTTTTTTCATGCCAACTATAAATCGAGAAAGGAAATATGAGAATTCTTGATAACTTTCAAAATCAAAGATCGATCTGATCAGACTTACGCCTCCGAAATACTTTAGCTAACGTCTGCACTTTCTCAAGACCATTCCACTCTGTTGTCACGCATAAATCTACATCAGAATTTGAACTACCGAGATCATTCATCGAAGAACTATTATTCATATTGGTCAAATCGAAATGACCCAAATAATATGATTTAACCGTGAATGAATCATAAAAGTAGATAAGAGCCGAAAAAGAAAGATATATCTACCCAAATAGGTGCACTTTAATAGAATGCTCAGGGTATTCGGCATTCAGCAGAGTTTCGATTTTATTTACAAAGTATTCTCTACGTTTAGCACTTTCAGCAGTAGGTAAAAGTGTCTGATGTTGTATAACGAGATTTGATGAAAAATTATGCTAAATATGTAGAAATTCGACAATGCCCAGTCAGCACTAACATACCTCATATAGAGATAACATGTCAACGGATAAAGTATTTTCAGCCTGAGGTAGAAGCGTTATTGGCTTTGTATCGCCCTTTATTATATACATGTTTTTGTTTGAGTAGTTGACAGAGTCTTTATAAACAGGTTTATATGAAGAAAAGTTAACAGCGAGATTCGCATCGCTTGACGTCTGCGGATCCGAGATTCCTTGTTTGTATGTTATTATTTGTTGTAAGTCGTTTACTGAGTGTGAAGACGATGAAAAACCACCATTAGATACACTATAAAATTGATTACTATATGTATTATTGTCATTTTTTGTTATATTGTCGCCAACTGACACGTCCGGGATTGATTGAGAAACACCGCCTTTGAACTTCATTTCGTGTGTGTGTCTTAAGCACCAGCAGTAAGATAAAATAAATATTCTAGTGTCTTGTATTCCGTCTCCACAGATATCTAATGTTCTTGTCAATAACAAACGATCTTGTTTGTTTTTGTAAACAGACAGACGCGAATTATTAGCAGCGTTGGATGGTAGACTTTTTTGACGTTTTGCAAGTTTTTTTAAGTATTAGAAGCGAATGGTGTTCCGCAAGCTATTGTTTTTTTTGTATTGATAAATGGCAAAGGGGTATTAAAGCAAATAGTCGTTTACTATAAAGCTAAATGAGAGAGAAATAGACAACAAGAGAAAGAGTTGATGGTAAGAGTCGAGTAAAAGCAAATCTGTCAAATTTAGTACTCGAACTGGTCTGGTCGGGTTGTTTACGCCAAATGCAAATCATTACTAAATTTAAATATTGTCATAACACCAGTTAGATTGATATCACCAGTTTTTTGTTTTGGTGTTTGTCAAATAAATAGTGTCCATTGTTGCATTATATGTTTGTATTTTGTTGGACCATAAGGTAGTAGTAATTTTATTATAAAATATACTTTTCTCGATCAATATAAATACAAAAAAAAAATAAAATGTTTGTGAGGGAAAAATAAATTCTAAAAATTGTTTTTTTTCGGCGCAATTAGAAAATAAAGTGTATGCGCGATTGTAGGTAAAAAAAATTGAAAGTAAATGTTATGTTAACCAATCATACCAATTGTCTTTATTATTATTTATTTATTTATTCTACATGAGGATTATATTCCAAATTCTAAGCTGTTGTTTTTATTATAATTTACCCTAAAATTTTATTTTGTTATGATTAGTTTCATTTAAAAAGTATGAAAAAATAATCAGCAATAAAAAAAATTCACCTGAAGGGTTAATTCAATGCTATTGTTGATGAATTCTTTTCGCGAAGTCATATCAACACCAAATACCTCGGTTAATTGTTCGCGCACTATACAAAATTCATATTAATAAATAATTTAGTATTAGAGAACATACATTATTAGAAATTACAGATTACAAAAATTATACATTACCTTGTTTCTTTGTGATGTTCATTAGATTTGCGTTAGCCAAGATATTTCTAATCTCCATCAATATTTCTTCATCGGTTGGACCATCAGCTGGTGAAGAATACGAGCTTATAGGTCTTGAAGCCACTGTTTCCAGATCACGAGAAAGGAGCATCGAGCTTCGTGGTTCCGAGACATGATCACCTCCAACATTACTATACGCTCGTGAAGCACGATAATCCGAAGTAGAATATTTTGGAACAGGTGAATGTGATCTATTACGTCGTCCATGAGTAACTGCAAGATTTGTATCACGATAATAATCGCCGCCACCATACTGACTTCCACCATATTGACTGCCGTATTGACTACCTGTCTCGTAATTATGTTGACTACTATGATATGAGGCGGCACTCCTTCGTGATTCATGAGACCCAGTGGTTCCTACTTCCCACATTTCTTGTTCATAGTCAGCCCATTTCTTTTTTGGAATCATCTTTTCGTCGAATTTCTCCTCTTCTTTATTAATAATTTGTTTCTTGCCTTTTTCGCCGACCACCATACGGGTGTTACCCCAACTGAAATCGTCAAAATGCCAGAATGCATAGATCGGAATAAAGAAGGAGAAAAGCGGAAAAGCTAGCAAATAAATGATCATCCAGCCGATATGTTGCCATTGACGTTTCAATATGAAAATAATCGCCTGAAGACCATACACAGCTGCTATCATTGCTAATGCGATAATCGGTAAAGTTTGTTTCTTGGTGGCGACAGCGTAAATGAGATAAATAATATAGATAACCGTTGATGGAAGAATCAAAGTACCGAAAAGATCGATAAAGACCACGAATCTCATCGAGAAACAACAGAAACCACACATTTCCGGCAAAAACATCAATTCCATTAAATTATGAATAGTAGAATTAATCCATCGACGACGTTGTGACAAAAGAATTCCCCATCGATCAGGGGCAGCAGTTCTACATTGAGCATCTGGGGTGAAAGTCATTTTATACTGTGAGAAATGTTTCATCATTAAGGTTGTGAGATATCGATCTTCACCGAGTGATAATAAATTCTTTTTATGAAGAGTATCCACGTGATTTTCCGAATAATCGTCAATAACTGTTTTAGAAATAATCAAAGGTGTTCCTTTGGTGGGTGTACGAATGCGATACATACAGAAACAACCAGGTAAACAGGTGACTGAGCCGAATAATGATTCAAAAGCTTTGGCCAAATGATGAGAAATATAATATTCATAAACTTGGATCATAGTAGTCCATGATCCTTCCTCGTCCGTAAGCGTCGTCTCACCACAAATACCGATGATACGACCGTCGTGAAGCATACAAGATACCATACGATTAAGTGAATCGGGTAATACTTCAGTATCAGCGTCCACCATCAAAATATATTCATAGAAAGTCGGATTAACGCCAATGACATTCTTCATTTGGTGATAAATCTCTAATTCGAGTGGAGTCATTTCCAAGTCGAAATGAACCTTATTCAAAAATCCCATCAAAATAATTTGCGAGTCACGTTTACCACGATTACCAGGTCGACTTACTTCAGATGGCTTGCCCACTTTTACCACTACTATATACGGTACTACATGACCTTCATATTCATATAGACCAGAGTAAACTTTACCGTAATTTAATTGTGCTGATCCTTCACCGACCGATTTGAATGCTAAAGGTTCCGGGTCCATCTTTGGATCAACTCCGAGAATGTCAAGCACAATTCGAGGAGTTGGTCTATCGTTACCAGAACCAATAATCATACCATCGGCAATTAAGAAAAGTAATTTGCGTTTATCGTCGTAAACAAGAGCAGCCAAAGAATCCATTGTCCGTTTAAGAGAATCTTCACCCTCAGTATAACAAGGTACTTGACAAATGACAAATTTATCATGATCTTCGGGTTTTCTTCTTGCGCCCAATTGCAATGCAGCCAAGAATTTAATTAATACGACACTCATAAGAATCACAGAAACGGCCAAAAGAATGTAATTATTGAATTGACATCTAAATGTTTTGCGGAAATCAATTCGACCAACATAGAAAAGATTTTCCATACAAGCCAGGTTATATGCTCGGGTGGTGGGATCAATGTGACTCCAATAGCTAGAAATATCTTGACCAGGAAGACTATTAAAGAGTGTTTCCACGTCGTTATCTAAATAATGATAATTTGGGATTGGGATTGGTGCATTTCCTTCTGGTCGATTTTGTTGCTGGTTGGATTTTTGAGTACTGAAATAATCGGATAAATCGTAGACTCTTTTGTTGATTATTGCCCATTTACGATTTTGAGTTTTAGCTTGATCAGCGATGTCGTTTTTATCCCAAACGAGATCTCCCTTATAGAAACGCTTCATACGCGGAATAAAAAGTCCAGTATACCAATCGGCCTTAGCCAATTTTGATGTTGGATAAATACGACTAGGATATTCATGTTTGAAACCAAATGGAGATGCATTGGTTGAATTGACCTGCAATTTGATGATATTGTCTTTGTCATTCAAGTTAAGTCCTTGACAAGCTTCCGAGATAGGAATCGGGAAAAATGGCGTGACGTCAGTACCAGCAAAATCTTGCATTTGTTGATCTGCGGCGGGACGACCAGAGATATCTGAATGATCCAATTGCCAGAAATCACTAATATCATAAATTTTTCCTCGCAAACTAACCCAAAAGTCATTGTCGCCAGTGTGAAAACTAACTTCCCGTTCATTGTAAACTTTATCATCACCAGGGCAAATGATTTTTCCAAAAGCAATAATATAAAAGATAATTATTGCCGATAATAGAAAGATTAACATGCAAAGAACTAATTTTTCACGCCAAGCCATTCGTACATCAGGACGTTTCATTCCACCGATCCACGATAGACAAAATGAAGGAATCCACCAGGTCATAAGCCAGACAAATCGAACCCACCAGATACGCGTTTTTGTGATGGGAATTTCTTCTATGTCTTCGTTATCCGCAACACCCTTTTCATCCACTTGCTTTAAATCTCCACCACGTGATACTCTGAATTATGAGAATTGTTATTGTTATACTTCTCAGAATACATAATAATAATAATAATAATAATAATACTCACCCATCACCGCTGTTACCACCCCACTGACTACCCCACATGCTAGTTTCTTCCTCCTCGTTATATACATTGCCTCCACTCCTTGAATAATATTCATCTTCACTTCCTGCATAACTTTGATCATCGTTGAAATCACTACCATAAGCAAGTCGCTGAGTAGGAATTAATCGATCCATTGAACTTGCCGCACTAGCAGCAGCTAGACCTCGAGGACGTTCAGCTCCACCATTAAAACCACTGGCTAAACTTTCGTCATCTTTCATTTGCTTTGCTTTAGCTCGCTCTTCTTTTTCAGCTGCTCTTAGTTTATCTTCTAATTCTTTCCATATTAGATCTGAAAGGAAAATATTTTGTCTACCAAGAGCAATGTCACTTACACCCCATCCACTAGATGTCACAAAAGCTTCCACTTTTTGTCGATCATTGGGCGAAGAATTCAATGGAATGATTGATTCGTAACGAGCAATGAAATCCGCATAAAGGTAATGAACAGTATAATCGACTCTTTTACGGTTCACAATATCTGGTATGAGGAAACTACGAATTTGTGCTTTAACACGTTTATTATCAAATGAATTTGGTTCATGATTATCATTCGGACGAATCTGAATAATATTCCACATTCGAGTTTCGTTCATCGTCTCAATTAATTGATTCAAGGTACCGTAGAGTTGAGTGATTACAGTTGAAACTTCGACAGAATGTTTCTTTTTACCACTTCCAGATTGTTTTTCTTCTTCAGCAGGAGTAGCGCGACCAATTTCTTGTCCAGTCTTTTTCTTTTTCATACTCGGAGCACGCATTGGTTTTGTGGGTAATTGAGCCATAACAATAGTTTTTTCGTTTTTTGGGTGATTTTTAATTGCCAAAGCAGGGCCCGAAAATAATTTACTGACGAATGGATTATTAGTGTCACGGAAAAGATTGACAAAATCGGTCGATAAATTATCCAGATTTTTGTCAATAAAGTTGTCGATTGAATAATTGACTTGCCCAGCGAAATGATTAATTCCAAAAGATCCTGCTTTAGAAAATTTTGAGCTCGGAGGATTTGCAACATATGATGGATGAGAGCCAAATGTTGCTTGTAAGGTCGAAAGCAATTTTGTGTCATCGCCATTTTGTGTACTTGAAGATTCTTGATCAAGAATTGATACTAAGCCAGTTTTTTTGGATTCTGATTTGGTGGAAGTGATAAAGTTGTCTCCTCGTAGAAGTTCTACACATCCGCTGTTATCCATGGTCAGAACTCGAGGTAAAGAAACCCCATCGCGATTTACCTCAGCATTGTCTCCAATTGAATCATCAAATATATTCTTTAACACAAAATTTTCAATTTCTTCGGAGGCTACATTAAGACAGAATTGTTCAAAAGAGTTTTTTGTGAAATTTTGATAGCCAGGTTGATCTAAAAGTCCAATGAAATTTGGGGGTTCATCTGAATTACAAAGTTTAGAGTTAATATGTTCCACGATCCAAGTGAATAATATAGAGTATAAAGCGCGTGCAAGTGAGTCTCTCTGTTCAGTTGCAGCTTCGGCATTTAAAAATACTGTGCACAGTTCTTTACGAAGATATTTAGTTTTGTATGTTAAAGTTTGTTCTAATTTAGATGAAGGAACACCCAATTGTTCAGCAACCAAATCCAAAACATGATGATTTTTGATAGAAGCGGCTTCATCGCGAGCATTCCTGCCCGGATTTACGAATTCAATGTTGCCCAGCAACAAAATGGCAGACAAGAGCTGCCAAATTTGAGATACAGTTTTACTTTTAAAACCCAAAGCTTTCAAAGAAGCGCGTAAATCATCCATTCTAATAGTATCGTCGACATCTGAAATATGAAAACATTTCGATTGAGATAAATAAGAGTAATGGTGGGGATCTTGAAGATGAAGTTGTGATTTCTCTTCAACATTGGCACCAGCTAACAAGTAATAGAATACGTGATAACTTCTTTCGTCTTGTGGCACTTCAGTTACTCTTGATTTGTCCAATGCATATGTTAAAGCTTTTGCACCAATAATTCTACCTCGTTCATTGAATTGTAATTCCAGGTATTTGCCAAATCTCGATGCATTTCGATTTTGTATAGTGTGCGCATTACCAAATGCTTCCAAGATGAATTGAGCATTTTGGATTAGCGAGGCAATTTTTGATTCTTTTTTCGTGTGAGTAGATAAAAGTAAAAGTTGTTGCAAGAGGTGTGATTGAGTAGCAGTTTTACCAGAACCTGATATACCACTAAAATAAACAAGACATATAATTTTGTGATTGTAACCATTACGAATGATATAGATTTAAAATATCATGAATTAAAAAATTACCTGAATACTACACTTTGATCCTCTGCCGACCTTCGCATATGTAAATAAACTCTTGCGGCTAATTCATATACATGAGGTTGTAACGAAGGCTTATTGCCCGAGGTATCTTTATACCATTGTTCTGCATAATCCTTCGCAGTGACATCGTTCATGCACTCTAGTGGTTTATGAGGATTGACGACGACCAAAGTCGAAGCATTAATACGAGTATAAGGTAGGTCAGCTTTATAACGGGCGGAAAGTAATTGCAAGACATCATCATCTGATGGTGCTTTAGCTGAGCTAGTGAGTAATTGAGTTAAGTCGATTCTATCATCAGAGGGTGAGGATGAGGAAATTAAGGGATTTGAGGAACGGCTCTTTTTCGTCTTCCCCATAGTCTTTCTATCTATATGAATGTCGCTTTATAGTTAGATTATTGAATAATGGTTTTTTATAGTGCTATTAGTATTATTCTTACTATTACTATTATATTAAAGAGTAAGGTATACAAAGTATTATTATACAAAAAGTCCAACAATAAAAAGAATAAATTTTTTTAAATTTGCAAAACTCGTTGTCTGTTTGCCCTTTTTGCCTATTAATAGTGAGTGAAAAGGAAGTCAAAGGGAAGAGGTGGAGAAGGGATAATATAATAATAATTTTTATAGTTCAAAAATCTTCCAAGAAATCTCCAACCATATACCAAAATCAAAACAGACAAAACATGTAAAGGAACGAAAAAAAAAGAAGGGAAATAAGTTTTATATAATAATGTGATGTGTCGAGGGGCGGACGAAAATGAGACAAGAATGTATCTGGAAATTAGTACAACTGTCGTACATAAACACAGTGTGTTGTAATTCGTGTGGTATTTATTTTTATAATTGCATTAGACTTTTTCTGAATCAAGAAAAAATGTGGCGTGGATGAACGAGTGATATATTTTTTAACGCGGGCAGTTGAATTGATTGATTTATAACACAGCCTGAATCTCTTAAATTTCTTTTTTTTTCAACAGAAATATTTATTTATTTATTCATTTATTTAGGAAATAATGACCGCATATATTTATAATATGTCGTTGAAATTGGTTATGTCTCTTTCATGCTTCTCTATTCACATACACATACACATACACGTGCGTGCATATTAAATTTCATAATAAGTCTAAAAATAGTTATTTTAATACATATCGAAGAATTATATCGCATATATACATTTAAAATTTGGGGATGACAAATCACCAATAAATAAATCTGAAGAAAAAATCCGGCGAAAAAAAGTGATATACCTTGATGCGCGACACTGCATTCAAAATTTTCGATTTACTTTTAATTCAGGCCAGAAAATCGATTTTAAGCCACTATAATCCGTTAAATATAACGAATATTTTGTTCGAAATCAAGGGCACTTTTTATAATAAAAAAATTCTGTTAGTAAAGAGAAGTATTATCAAATAAATTTTAAAAGATCTTTTCCATCAAGAGAAAATCAGGATGTTCTACGCAATTCTCAGCACATTATTTGAATTGACATTCTGAACAGATCAGACGGTTAATGAATGTAGTTTACACAAATTATAGATCGTTTATAATGGCAACAATCACCTACGGGAGAAAGTAACCGTTAAAGAGTCAACTTTTGTTGTTTGCTGTAAATTTTTTCATTTGATCCCTTTATCGAAGTAAATGGTAGCTGATGATACACACTATTAAAATTAAGATAGCTAGATTTACAATAAGCCTCTTTTATGATAGATCTGATTTACACAGCCTTTTTCAAGAGAATATATATATTTATTGTACATGTTCCAATCCAGTATTTAATGCTAAAATCGTGTTGTTATACACTAACCAGAAACATACATCTTTAAATATTTCTATCTATTCTAAGAAAGTTATAATAGAAAAAGAGATAAAAATGTATATTGTGTATTAAATCAAATGAGTGAATAAATGTACAATTCGTCATTGTACAATTGAAAAGTTTGTAAATAAGAAAAGGAAAGAAATGGATTTGTTTTACAATTAAATGAAAGAATATATAAATAGTAAGTATATATAATATGACATACCCAGCACACGCACGCATATACAAAAAAATGAATGACATAAAAAAATATACTACAAGAAAATTATAAAAAGAAAGTGTGATTGATTAACTAAAAGACTGAATGGTTGACTAATTGTGATGATTTGTATTGATTGATCGATTGATCGATTGTCCAAAAATATGAAATTGTTCCATACCTTTTATTATTTACCAAATAATTTTTCGAAAATATTTGAAACTCTCCAATTCTTTGAGTCTTCCTCTTCATCTTCCTCATAATAATAGTCTTCATCATATTCATCATCATAATAATTCCCTGAATATTGTTTATTATTCCCTCCAGGTAATGTTCCTTGTGATGCTGGATTATTTACATTATTGCCAACCTCACCACCACTTACTCCTGCTGCTGTTGAACTCGGATTTTTTGAAGATGATGAGGGTGAAACAACTGCAGCTGTGGCTAAATGTTGTCGCAATCGATTTTCTAAATTACTATTACTTGGAGATGTTCTTATTTGTCTGGGCGTGGTTGTTAATTTAGGTGGAGGCGGCGGCGAAGATAATAAAACTGAAGTTGATTTCGGTGATCCATCTGAATTTTTTTTAGTGATTGATGAGGATGATGTTAATTTGACCATAGGTGCCCCTGAATTACCACCACCACCACCAATAACATGATTGTTATTATCACCGTAATCATTAGCACGTTTTTTCTGTCGATATTCACTATTATTATTCCGACCCAGAAGAGTTAAAGTGTCCTCCAATTTTCTTCTCCCACTTTCTCTTTCCATATAAGTCCCAGTTTTCTCTATTTCTTCTTCTTTGGTTTCGTATACTGTTACTGGAACATTGGCGATGGTATTGTCCGTTGTTGTTCCTCCACCCCCGAAAAAAGAAGCAACGCCTCTTCTAAAGATTGATCCAACTGATTCCATACTTTCTCGTCGGTTTTTAATTCTCAAAGTATTTGGCGCACTATGGCTACCACTAGCACTAGTAAATGCTTCCAGATTACGATCCGGATAATATGATTCTTCTGCAAATGTATCAATACTTCCAATTGATACATCTCGATCATGTGAAAAATCTACGGACATACGCCGAGTATGATGACGTGCAGAATTTGGTGGAGATTGAACCTCTTTAACACCTCCGAATACTCGACTTAAATATGCTCCAAATCCACTTTCATTGCCTTGACTTTGCCTATTTTTTCGTTTATCTTTTCGTTCCAAACTTTCATAATCTTTTCGACCACTCGTTAAACTTTTACCAAACTCTTCTTCAGCTTTCCTTCGACTCTCTTCCACTTTTTGTACATAAGAAACTTGTACTTCATTAACCATCATACGTAAGTTACCCACTTCAGCTAATAAATCTTGCATAAGATGGGTGAGCGGTAGAAATTCCTCGGGTGAAAATCTAAAGATATCCCGATTTTTACTTCCACTAATCTTAGTAATTTCAGATTCACAGTAATCATCAATATTTTCATCTTTCTCATCTGATGATTTTTCAATTTCGTTTCCTCGTAAATCTTCCACCCATCTAAATCGTTCTCTTAGATTTTCAACATCTGTCAAAATATTCTCAATTAAATTATTACTTAAGCTTGATAATTCTAACATGTCAAATTGTCTTTTTAGACGTCGGTTCAATGCCAAAATATCGGTGTCTTTAAGACGATCCATCAAATGACTGACTAAATTGAAAAGCAATTGATATGGACTTTGATGTTGTGGTGATTCAGGTGATGCAGGATGAAGATATTGAACGTTGACAATATTATTATTAGTATTATCATTATTTGCATCATTATCATCCTTAGGCGCATGCACTATTATTGCGGGAGGGTGAATTGATGATGTACGTCGAGTTGCTGTAGATGTATGAGAGCGGGATGATAATCCGTGTTCAACTTCATTTGCAAGTGCTGCTGCTTCTGCAGCTGATAAATTAGCTTCATCTACAAGTACTTCTTCTACAAAGTCTTTAATGGGGGAGCTTGACAAATTCATTCGAGTTTTTTCCTTTATAGTGTCGGTGTCACTTTCTCCTTTTTCATGCTTATCATCGTCATTATTACTAGTTTTCGTAGCAATGCTATTATTGTTCTCCTTGCCTTTCTTAGAATTGGTCGTGGTTTGTTCTTTAGCAACTCCTGCTCGCCAAGCTTCCATCATTTGCTTACGTTCTTTGGGACCCAATGTTGCAAATTTAGGATTTTTGAAAGCTGGAATCGCTGGCTTAGCGGTTAATTTGGATTTCAATGTCGGTGTCCCTGATGATTGAGAAGCTTTAACCGATAATGAGTTAGCTATTCCTGATGTTGGACGTCGATGATACGTCGGTTTATGTTGTTTAGAAGTTGCTGTTGATGTTGTTACGATTGATTTTCGCTTCGATAAGAGTGTGCTATTGTTGACATTATTTTGTGAATTATTGTCTGCTTTTTGAGTAGATGATGTTTTGTTTGATTTGTCTTTTTCGTCATTATTTAGCTTATTATTATTGTTGTCGTTTTGTTTATCCGTATTGTTGTTGTTGTTAACATTATTTGCTGCTACATCTTTTTTAAGTCCGGCAGATAATAATGAAACACTATTTCTTTTTTGATTGTCTGAATTTTGTTCTTGTGCTGAAATAGTTGAAATATTATTCTTGTTAGAGTCATCGGTTGTTTCTTCGTTATTTTTCGTCGTCTTCACATTAGAATTTATAGTCGAGTTTGGAGAAATCTGATCTTTTTCTTTTTCCGCTACCTCCGTCTCCTCCTAAAACGTGTCAGAAAAGGTAAACCAGAAAGAGAAGAAAGAGAGGGCCTGAATGAGAATAAATAACCAGATAGTTTTGCTGTTCATATCAGATAATTTTGGTCCATGGTGGGATCTTTTACTTAAAATTGCTTATTGTCTTTCGTATTTTCTTTATGATCAGTGCAGACAACAAAAACAAAAATATATACGAAACTGGACCACCATTGACCAAAATAAAAGAATCCTTGCAAAACAATATAAACACGGAACAATATAAAGAACGAGAAATAATAAACTGAACCAATATTACATACCCCAGTCACTCTTTCTTCATCTTCTGATTCATCGGTGAAAGTTATATCATCCGATTCTGCATCCGAATCTCCTGATTTTTTGCTAATCTTCGCAGTTTTCATAGGCGGATTTTCTTCCTGAGCTTCTTTACTTTCGGAATTTTCGTTATTAGTAAGTTCTTCTTCTCCTTCTTCACCAATCTCAACGAATCTTTTTTTGCCTTTCTTAAGAGCTCCACGTCCGGGTCTTCGGGCACCTCGTGGTTTAGTTTTTTTCACTAGGTATTTTTCTAATTCGCCAAAGACACTTCCCCGCACAATATCGACATTTTCCGCGGGATAATGATGGTAATGGTGATAATGATGATGATAATGCAACGGATTTGAGCTAGACAGCAGTGATGTCGAAACCAATGATCCAGCGGGAGAGGCAACTGAAGGATCCACTCCCATACTATTAAAGGTATTGATTGAAGCTGCACAACCAAATGAAGAAGAAAGAGCACTTGGTGAGATACGAGCATGAATTGGGCGTGCAGGTGTTCCAATGATATTACCACTAACACCATCTCCACCTTCTTCCATAAATACTGCTGTGACTGGGGATTCTTCACCATTACTCTCTACTTCATCAATCACCTGAACAGGTATACCTTTGTTATTGAAAGGAGGTGCGAAAGTAGTACTTGTGTAACTGGCTGGATAGGGAGAGTAACCAGTTGCACTAGCAGTTTCCAGCTCCTCGATTCGATTTTGTAATGTGCTTACTTCATTACGTGATTCAGTTAAGAGTTCGCGATATTCCAAAATTTCTGATTTTAATTTATTATTGGCCGATGATAATTCTTTAATAAGTGTTATTAGATGAGTATTGGCTTCATTATTTGACGAAGACTAAATTGCATAAAGTAATAAGAATTGTTAACTTATTTATTGGTTAGCTAAATATAAAAAAATATGAATTCATTACACACTTTAAATTCGTCTCTTAGCCGTTCATTGGACTCGCGTAACATTGCTACAGCCTCGAGTTTTCCTTTAGATCGTAAACCATCATTTTGCTCACGTTTCAGTTTTTCATGAGCACTATGAAGATTATCTTTAATAAAAAACATATTACAAATCAATTCAGAAACTCAAAAAATCAAGAGTAAAAAAATATATAGACTTGCCATATTTCCCTTTCAATTTACGAACTCGAGCTTCAGCAGCACTTTCAGCTTTGCGAGCTACCGTAAGCTCCTGTTTAAGATCTTCCATTTGTCTCCGTAGATCTTCTTCCCTCTCTTCACTATGTTCTCCTTTGATATTATTGGCTGTTAAACGTTTCACTTCGTCATCACGTTTTTCCAGCTCTTTTACAAGTTCACGTAATCTAACATCATTTGCTTCAAATGCAGCGGCAAGTGAATCATTTTTCTAGAGTATATAAATAAATTAATAAAGATTATTATATATTATATGATTAATTTCATTAATACATAATGAAAAATTAATTTTCACCCTTTCAACTAAGCTTTTTTGTCGTAGAACATCATCGATTTGACCTTCTAATGAAAGTTGCGTTTGCTCCAAATTACGCACTAATTCCATTAATTCATTTTTGTCTCTCTGCGAATCTTCCCGCTCACGAAGCATATTTTTATGGTCTTGTTGCAATTCACGAACCAGATCTTGAAGCTCTTGAACTTCTTGTTCAGCACGAGCGCACTAAAAAAATTATTAATGATAACATTATTTTTATTATTTGTTGATAATTGTCTTTTATGATTCCTCAGAAATGTATATGGAGACAAAGATCAGTCAATACCTGATGCTCTAATGCTTGTTGAAATTCTTCCATTTCTTTCTGATAATGTTCATGTTTTTGCAAGAGTGCTTGCCCGACCTCTGGATGAAAAAAAATAACTCGTTTTATTAAGATCTTTTTGTCTTGAAATAGCAGAAAATTTCTGTTCATGTTTCCATTTTCACATTGGAATTAAATAAGCCTATAATTACTCACTCATAAAGATACTTACCACCAGCTAGTCGCAGTTCCTCTTCCATAGAACGAGAATTCCGGATAAACACTTGTAAATTCGAACAATTCTCTCTACCACAACAACATTCTAGCATTAACGGAGTCCGAGTTCCAGGTGTAGGAGAAAAATTGCCCCAAAATTGCGTTCCTGGAGGCATTTCCAATCTAGAGAAGCTGTCTAATCGGGAGCTTGAGGCATTAGGTGTCATGTTTTCATCCTCACTACCTGAATCGCCACCATGTCCTGGTGGCTGTAAACTGGCAGTATTAATGTCGGAAGTTTGATGATGTTGAGGGGAAAAATATGGTGGTAAAAGGTTGTTTTCTATGCGTGGTGGAGTTTGACGACCCGAATCTTGAAAGCTCATTTTGAGCTTTACCAAAATTTGCAATTTATTATCAAATAAATAAATTAAATAGATCTTGTTTTTAGTGTACAATAGCGATTACAATTGCGATTGCAATAGCAACTCTGAAAAGACAATGTTGAATCCCATCCCGATATATGCCGCATTATATCAACCAAGATCCGATTTTCTCCAATGCCTAGTCATTCGGGGGGCAATAATTGACACGAGACTTCGGCCGTGATAATGATAACTCCATTTTGAATTGTTTCCATCTTTCTTTCTAAGCAGGTATGATCAGTAATTTCTACGTCATATTTAATTCATCCATTTGATGGTCTGTCTCCTTGATTAAAAGGGACGATGAATGACTATTTGTAAAAAAAAATTTTATTAAGCAAACCTTATCAAACTAATCTCGTGTATAATCTACCACATCGAAATATATTTCATTAATGACTAAATGGTTAGTTGTTAATTAAGCAATCACTATTTTTCTTTTTTTTAATGATGTTGTGATTTATATATAACCCGACAATTAAAATTCTTTTTAAATAATTTGTATACTAATTAGAAGATGAAGATGAAATAAAAGAAAATACTAATAATAATAATAATCATAATCGAAAAAGAAGTGATCGAAAAAGAAAAATAGAAAATAGAAAGAAAGGATGAAAATTCTCTTAAGTATTTACACAAATAATCTCACGATTTTTTATTAATCGTTGGGCAATTATTTTAATATTCTACCCTTAATTTATAGTAAGTATAAAAAGGAAATCGAACATTATTTTTACACATGATTTATATAGTATATTATATATGATGAAAGAAAAATGATGATTGATTATTGAATCCTGCAACTTATAATCTAGATTTAATAATAGAGTAAAAAAGACGAAGAGAAAGGAGGGAAGGAGTAAGGAACGTAAAGAAGGAAGGATAGATAAGATAAACAATATAATGACAGATAATCATTAACTTCCATCATTACCAGCTGTACCATTTTGACCAGTACCCGATGGTGAAGCGAGTACGTTATCTAAATCTAAATATTGATCAAAAATGTTATCTGTTGCGCTAGCACCAGTAACACCATTCATATCGAAACTTGCTTCTGAACTGAGACCGTATTCCAAGTTGAAGTCTATTGCGGAGTAATTATTTAATACCTACATAATTAATTAATTAATAAATAAATAAAAATCATGTAGACTGAACGAATGAACGAAAGAACGAGCGAACGAACGAACGAACGAAATAGATAAATAATTAATTTACCTCATTAATCTCCGCATCTATTTCTGTTGTATCTGCTCTTTGTACCATTATTCCTGGTGCTGGTGAATTTAATGACAAGACATTTGTATTCGTTTGCTGTGGATTTTGTTGTTGTGATTGAGCATTTTGTACCGTAGTTGCAACAATTGAATTTTGAGGAGTTGATATGGAATTTGGAGTATTCGCAACCCCGCCCGGTTGACTAGATTGTGATTGATTAGGAGTTGTCTTGGAAGCAGTGTTCTATACATGAAATATAAATTATTTGATATTCTATGAATAAATAACTGATTTAACATTAATACCTTATTATTGTTTTCAGCTTTCTTTTGCCGCTGCTGCGCCACTTGTTGTGCCACTTGCTGCTGCTGCTGTTGATATGATGGTGGAAATAATTGCATTCCTCCTGGAAGAGTAGTTACTCGCTTTATTTTATATATATATATATATATATGTGTGTGTGTGTGTGTAGAGGAAAATATAAATATATATACATTAAAAAAATTTATTAATAACATAAAGAAATATTGATTATTTTACCGGTTGATTTTTATTTTTATTATAAGAATCTAAATCTTGTCGTTGACCTGCTAACAGTTTCTCAGTTCCAGCAGTTCTAATCATATTCGCAGGAACTGCACCTGGAGCAAGCCCGAACATTGGATAAGTCATCATCCCAGGTCGTATTCCAATCGCAGGATTAGCACTTAAGTTCATGGGCATACTCGATATAGTATTCGTTAAATTCGCCATTCCCGCAGTGGCATTATTAATCAAATTATTGATTTCTTGAGCATTTGGAATATCATTGTTATTGTTATTATTATTCCCTGTTGATGTTCCACCTCCGTTCCCTTGATTATTATTGTTATTATTTACAATCGGTGACATTGAATGATTTACACCTGGTGATGATATTGATTTTTGTGGCTGCTGCTGCTGTTGTTGATTGGCCGTTATTCCTGCTGTGGCCATTTGTTGTGTTCTTTGCTGCTGCTGCTGTTGCTGTTGCTGCCCTTGTGGTTGCGGAGTTTGCTGCAGTGGCTGTTGATGAAGTTGGTTTTGTTGTTGAGTATTCATCATTGGTTGTTGATTCGGTAGAGTACTTCTTTTGGTAAGAGGAGGTTGACGGGGGGTTTTGGGCGGTATACCAGGTGAGTTCGGCATATTTGAAATTGGCTAAATTAATTTTTAATAAACGAATATATAAATATTCAAATTCAGATTAATTATTTCATAATAAAAAGAATAAATACTTGTGTTAACATCAACGCAGTTGGTCCCATATTCATTTGTGCTTGCGCTTGTGTATGAGTTTGTTGTTGAGGACGTTGCGGTTGTTGTTGCTGCTGCTGTTGTACGGGTATATATCCACCGTCTGGTTGCATTGTTCTTGGTCGTTTAGAAGGTGACGAAGAAGTTTGTCCTGCTATTGTGGGTGTACCATTACTCACTACATCTACCGTTCTCTTCGTTCCTGATTGATTTACAACTACTTGTTGCTGCTGTTGCTGCTGCTGTTGCTGCTGCTGATGTTGTTGTTGTTGTCTTAAAGCTGTTTGTTGTTGAATTTGTGGCATTCCATTCATTGCGGGTTGTTCAGCAACTTGATTACGAAGAGCTGATAATGTTGGTGACTGTCCATGCGCAATTGCTGGATGAAATGGTTTACCTCTAAATATCGAATTAAATATCATTAGCTATTAAGTTATTGTGATAGTGATATAATAATTAATAAAAAAATTTAATAGTTGATGCAAAATACATACTGTATAAATCGTGATGGTTGCTGTTGCTGCTGTTGCTGCTGTTGCTGCTGTTGCTGCTGTTGTTGTTGCTGTTGTTGTTGTTGCTGCTGCTGCTGCTGTTGTTGTTGCTGCTGCTGCTGTTGTTGTAGTGGTGGTGGTTGTCTCATCGCACTCTTTATTATATTAGGCATTCGTTGAGAATTAGCTAACAATACCATATTATTATCAGGGTTAGCGTTAGGTGAGTCAATATTCATCATTCCATTAACAACAGGTCGATTACCAAATTGATTTGGATGAGTTGGTTGATGCGCAGCAACATTTGGTTGCTGCTGATTAACCACGACACCTTGTTGTTGCTGCTGCTGCTGTTGCTGCTGCTGCTGCTGCTGTTGCTGCTGCTGCTGCTGCTGCTGTTGTTGCTGCTGTTGCTGCTGTTGCTGCTGTTGCTGCTGCTGCTGTTGCTGCTGCTGCTGCTGCGCAATTTGCAATTGAGCTGCAGTCACATTATGATGTTGTTGTTGCTGCTGCTGTTGTTGTTGTTGTTGTTGAGCCGCAAGAAGTTGCTGAAATTGTTGTTGGAGTTGACGTTGATGTACTGCTGTTGGGGCAGTCGCAACATTAACTTGACCTGGATGTCCTTGATTTTGTTGCTGTTGATGTTGTTGCTGTGCTATTTGTTGTGGATTCGGTACGCCCATTTGTTGGTATGGAAATGTCCCGTTTTGATTTAATCCTTCAGAAATGAGCCTCATTCGTACTTGTTTATTACGATTCTATAAAATTGTAAATATTCAAATAATTAATTACTTATTATTCCTAATTATCATCATCATCTTATTATCTTCATCACAATAACAATTATTCTTCGTAGTGGTCATTATCGTTAATATTAATATTATTGTTGTTATTTTATGTGAAGTAGATCTCGTCGTTAATATTATTCATTTATTCCCTTTGAGTATCCTCAAATTTTCTTAATCTTCTCTAATTTAATAATCACATCAAAATAATTTCTAACAATTGTTTCTCTCACCTGTTGATCAACATATCGTTGAGCTTCTAACGTATGATTTCCCGGACGACCCAGTTTTGCACTGTAAACATCCCAAAATACTGTCCACCATTCATATAGAAAGCCTTCAGGTGCATGTACAGGTACTGGAGCTTCAGGTAGCGAAGCAAAACCGTTATCAGTTTCTCCATTAGCAGTAGTATTTGAGATACCTGTATTACTATTATTACTATTATTATTATTATTATTACTACTACTACTACTATTATTATTGTTATTGTTGCTATTATTATTTTTGTTATTATTTCCCTCTTCTTTTAAATTTTGAATGTTCCCTTCTCTGAAAAAAGCTCTTGCACTTTCCGCATGCCCCTGTTTTTTTAGAAAATCATAAACATAAGCATTTAATAGTCCTATTTTTGATGATGCCCCATTTCTTTGTGCTTCATTTTGTGAAGCGGCAGCAGATATTTGTTGGGTGAATGGTTGTTGTTGCTGCTGCTGAGCTTGCAATTGTTGTTGTAGTTGTTGCGATGGTTGTTGCGGTGGTGGTTGTGGTTGTTGCTGTTGCTGCTGCTGTTGTTGCTGTTGCTGCTGCTGTTGTTGCTGCTGAGCATTAACAGATTGAGGTTGCTGTTGCTGTTGAACAGTTACTTGTTGGGTGTGCTGTTGCTGTTGTTGATGCATTTGAGGGTGAGCAACAGCCTGTTGGTGTGGTGTGGGTTGCTGTTGCGAGTGTATTATCGCCGCCATATTATTAGGTTGTTGTAGCATCGACATTATTATTTATTTATTTAAGGTGGTCGTTTATATATAGCAAAATTACTACTAATATTACTACCACTAATCCTTAAAATAAAGAATCGGTAATCTTTTTTCTCTTTTCTGAATTGAAACGAAGTGTCCGCTGTCTTGATACTTTTAAAAATTAATCACTCGAGAAACATTGATTGGATAGTGGATATAAGTAATAAATAGGTGCGTAAGGAGAAAGAAATGTGTAAAAGGGAGGTTGGTTGGTTGTTGAGCAGCAAAAAAACTAAAATTTTTATGGCTTAAAATAATAAAGAAATAAAGATAATAGTATTATTTTTTATTATTTTTTATTCGTATTATTATTATTATTATTATTTATTATTATTATTATTATTATTATTATTATTATTATTATTATTATTATTATTATTATTATTGTATCTTTTTCTTGTGTTGTTACCTGTCCGTCTGTCGCTCTTTTTTTATGTATTGCTTGTAGTGAAAAGAAATATATGTGTATTATATATATATATATATATATATATATATATGTATGTATGTATGTATGTGTTTATATATTTTATATTATCAGTAGTAAATGAAAAAAGAAAGCGAAAAAGAACAGACAAGTATCTATTCGCTTTTATGAAAAAGGTGGGATTTCTAGTGATGACGATGATGCTAATGATGGTACCAAATTTTCAAAATTTCATTAATCTCAAAAACTACGAAAAGATCCTCACTTAGAAACTACAAAATGAACCAATTGTGTTGCTCAAATGAACTTTTTATACGTCATCCTGCTAAAACTGACAATGAAAATCGAAAAAGGAAAAGAAAACAACGAGTAATCCTTTAATTATTTATTTAGTTGATTGTGCTTTTTTCATCATACATTAACGACTTACTACCTACCTAATTTAATTTATAATGAATCAATAATACTGTATATAAATCGATATAATTTAAATTTTAAAATAAATTGCTAAAAATCATGAATTGGTAATTCCGGAAATTATTACCTGATAATAGAAATCGTATGATCGTCGAAGTTAAAAAAACGCCTCTAAAACGATATAAATCCTTGCTGTAATTCGTGAAACCATATTTTAAGGATAATAATGATGGTAATAATATTCTTTAGCTTTGAATTTCACAATCAAAACTTTCTAACAGGAAACCTTGACTCTACAATAAAAATGATTGGCTTTGGAGTCTTTCAACTCCCTAAAAAGGTAATATTTTTTGATAAAATCTTTCAACATGTCATATGAAGATTTATCATGTGCTCTGATTTGATTGGTTGGCATTTAATATACAATTATAAATTAAGCCGGAATTATTGATTTTGTCACGTGTTATATGATCGATATAGTATATCACGTGAATTTTTAGATAAAGCGCGTTTATATTGAAATAAAATTATTTTTAAAATATTATAAATCAGATTTTATTATTTTAAATTATTAAATTCTTATTGATAATGTTATATATGCATTTTGTATTGTAATTTGTCAATTTTCTAATATATTTTTCATCTGATAAATATTTAAATATTGTTTCTAATCTGCTTTATTTTAATTGTTTTAATTATTTTTAAAGTTATTTGTTTTCTAGTTCTAATTATTGTTGAATTTTATATTTCACAAGTCTTCTTTCTAATTCTTTTAGTTTTTTTTTTGTTTTAATATTCTAACAAAAAAAATTTAGAATAAACTCAAGATATTTTAATAATATTACTATTTCTAGTTCTTATATATGAGAATATTTAGAAATAGTTAACAGTAATTGTATTTATGTCAGATTTAAATAAAAAAAATATAATTGATAATAGTGAATGATTAACAATAACAAATTAACAAGAATATAAATATGAAATAAATATTAAATATGTTTGAATGATAATAAAACAATACTAAAACTAAATATATACTATAAATTAAAGTTAAAAGTATATTATAAAAAACAAAAGATAATGTAATACTAATTGAAAATGAACAAAGATAAAACAAAGATAAACAAAGAGAAGACAAAAGAAAAGTAATAGAAAAATAATAGAAAAACAAAAAAATAAAACAAACAAAAATAAAGTAAACAAAAAAAATAAACAAAAATAAAAAGATAAGTAAAAATTAAAATCAGAATATAATTTTTTTAGTTTATTTTAAATCAATCTCATATTATATATATAACAAATTTAAATTATATTAATCTATATATTATTTATATATATAGATTACAAAAAGAAATTAATAAAAGTATAAATTTATAACATGTTGAAACATATAATTATTGTATAATATTAGAAAGAAATTTGTATAAACTCTATATATTACTAATTAAATTGATATAATAAGAGATATAAATAAAGTATCAATAAGATTTAGAATATAAATTAATATAAAATTACTATGAATTAATTGATTAATTAAATAATAATGAAATCTAAATTAAAACAATACAATAAAAATGAAAAATAATTGGATAAAAAATAAAAGAAAAATCGTGCTTTTAATAAGAAATATATGTTAAAAAAGTGATAAAAGATAAAGTAATAATAATATATAGTCAAAGAAATTTAACTTATTAACTTATGTAATTTATAAATTATATAATGAAATTAGATATATATATATTACTGAAAGTTATAATAAAAGATACTTTTACATTTATAAATACCAATATATTTACTGGTTTAATAAAAAAAAATGATATAAAAATATTAAAACTACCAGAAAATTACATAAAAAAGGATTTCTTCTTAAAGTATAGTTAAATCTTTCTATAATCATACCTATTTATAATTACACTTTTTTATAATCATCTTATTTTGCTTTTCTATTTACATATAAATATAGTAAAAAAATTACTCTATAATCACATTTCCTCTATAGTCACCAAATTTTGCTTTTTTAGAATAGTGATTATAAAGAAATTTGACTATATATAATAAATATAATGAAATTGAAAAAGTAATTCTATTAAGATATATTAAAAAAGAAAATATTGAATATAATAGTTCTAAAGAAATCTTAGTTAATGAAATATTTTAACAAATCTATCAACAATTATTTTCTAAATATTATTTATAATTGGCTTATCTTGAATATATTAATATTAAACTTTGCAAAAATTATTTAATTCCTTGTAAATTTAAATAATATAATAATTATAAAGAACCTAAAATTAATTAAATAAGATTAATAATTATAAAGATAAAGCTCTCATATATTCAAAATCAAATCAAAAACTTGAAAATATTCTTGTTCAAACTGAAGAAATTATTAAATCATTAATTCAACCTGTTTTCAAAGTTAAAATTTGAATTAAAAATAAACTAATAAATGAAATTAATAAACTCTTGAACTTTTATCATACTTGTAACTTTGAAGAATTATTAAAATAAAAAAATATTAATTTAGTAATCAAAATTTATAATAACAATAATAAAAATATTATATCTCAAAAAGTACATTAAAATAATACTGAGTTTAATATTAGATATTGTCATAATATAACATTTAGCAAATAATTTCATTGAATAATAAAAATATTAATTATTATTGAATTATATTTATTAATATTTTTATTGAATAATTATTTTTAGTTAATTATTATTTTATTAGGTAATTATATTTTAGATATTATTAATTTTTAGATTTGTGTTAATACTAATAACACTAATAATACTAATAATATTTATTAACAACAATAATAATATTAATACTTGTATTAATATCAAAAATATTGATAATACTCATATTTAATTAAATTAGTAACAACAACAATAAAACCAGTTATATTATATAATATGTAATTTATATAAATATATCATATAACTTAGCTTAAGTAAAAGTAATTTTAATAACTCAAAAAATTTTTTATTTGATAGAAACTTATAAAATTATATTTGTATTGGTTTTTGATCTTGAAAGATAGATTGCTTATAATAAATTATTGTTATTAACTTAAAAGATAGTTACTTGATAAACTTATTATTTGTAATCTAACTTTTAAAGTTCTAAATAAATATATAATACTTAGTAAAGTTATTGAATATTATTCTAGTTTATCACAATATGAATACATATTATCTATTTTTAATAATAGTTTTTAGTCTCTCCCATTATAAAAACTTAATTTTTTTGTTTTTAAGTTAGTAAAAACATGTGAATATAGTTAAATCTCTTTATAGTTATTATTTTTAAAAAAGCAAAATTTGATAACTATAAAAAAAATGTGATTATAGAGAAATTTTTTTACTATATTTATATTTAAATAGAAAATCAAAATAGTGTGATTATAAAGAGATATAACTATAAATAAATATAATTATAAGTTTGATTATAATATATAAATAACTTAAATTATATAAAACAGTAACAGATTTTGGTGCACTCTCTGTGAAAAAGATAATTTCACATTATCAAAATTTTATTTGAACAGAAAACTCTCTATAAATAAACAAAGTATTATATCAAAGAAAATCAGAATTGAATTAAGAATTCTTTATGGAAGAACAAATAAATTAACAACAAGCAAATCTATTTCAATTTGAATCTTACAAAATTAAAATAAGAAAATTATTCCAAAAAATAGTTACTAAAATATTAATATCAGAACAATATTCTAATAAAAATCTCAAAGTTATTTTTAATAACTTCAAGCTATTTTATAGAAAAACAATTTATAGAAATATATTAACTATAGCAAGAAAAGCATTTGCAGAATTATTAAAAGAAGAAACTGAATTAATTAAATTATAAGTTCAAATTTTTTACATTATATTCAACAAGAAATTTATAAATTTCATCAAATATTCGAGAAAAATAAAACAGCTAAAAAGACTATCAGTAAAAATCTCCAGTTTGAAAGAACTATTTACTAAAAAAAAATATAGAAAATTTATTAAAATTATCAAAAACTTAGAAGAATTCAACAAAGTAAATATTATTTCAAAATACTTTAATTAAATGACTAAATTAATTAGATAATAATCAATATTATCTTTTAATACTAAAAAA